CGTCTATGTCCGTCTCCTGGTTCTAAGCTACCTCCCCACCAATTTTCAGCCAAATCGGTTCAGCCGTTCTTGAGTTATAGATAGTGTAACTAAGACCACTTTACAATTCCAATTAAATTTACCATTTAGTTTATCAACGGATTAACTTTTTCCGAGGGAGAATTATTTTCTGGGGGGTTTTTTACGATTTTTTTTCTGAAGGTTTTTTCTCCTGGGGGGCCTTTTTTCAGGGGCCTTTCCTCCCTATTACCGCTTCATACATATTTAATTGGGGTACACGCAATAAATCTTGTAAACGCCAGACTGAGAACTTAAAGCTAAAATATTATTATTCGAGATGGCTTAGTCTAGTTCGGTCAAATTTAAAAGTTATAAGATTCAGTTTAAAATAATTTTATGGAGAATTTCAGGGGTTTTTTCCGCGGATTTGTTTGCGTAAATCATTAATAATTGTAGATCTTTTCTTCAATGAACAAATGTTAGGTGTGTATATATATGTTGAGAAAAAATGTGGGCAAATTTTTCTATTTTCATTTAAAAAAATACAAATGCAAGTGGGATAAACTACAACACTATAAAGAATAGCCCATTACAAGTAATAATTCATTCATATTTAAAAATTAGTTTAAATTTAAATTTTAATTAGTTTTTGTGAATTTTAATTTATGCTTATCATGAAATGACAAAGGTGCTATCATCTCTTTGTGTATTGTCGAAAATTGGGAGAACATTGTCAATTAATAGTAATGGGTGGGATAGTAAGAGACAATTATTTCGAAAGGAAGTAAAAAAAATCAATTCGAAATGGAGTTTTATTATATCGATTAACAAAAAGCAAATTCTTTAATAAAGCGCTCCGTCAGTCCATTGTTTTATTCGATACCTACGCGTTCGATTGTCCAATAAAAGATTGAATCGATCTGAAAATTCGGCGATACGTGAAGTAGAATTTAAATTTAAAAGTTATTTCTAAGATGAAGGTCCTCGCGTTGCTTATATTTTTCGTTTGCATTCAGGTAAATTATTTCTTAATTTTTTAGAAAGCAGATTCATTTGAACGTTTTTCGTAGAACTTTGGCCGCAAAGAAAGAGGCAGTCTTTCGATCTTGACATTTTAATACTTCGGAAAACGAGCCTTCACCAATTTTGTTGATTACTTTGTAGTCTAGAAAGGAAATTTTTACCATTTCGCTTATTGAATTGAATAAAGACGTTTACATACTGACTAAAAATTGCTTGTTTGAAGTCATGCCAAAGAAATTCCTAATTTTGACTGTCTAACCCTAAAAATCATCAATAAAAATAATAGTTTTG